CGTTTTTCTCTTCTTCTTCTTTCTTTCTTTCGTTTCTTCTTTCTTCTTTTCTTCTTTCTTTCTTTCTTTCCTTTTTTTTTTTTTTTTTGAACAGAGTGGTCACTTGTTGTCCAGGCTAGGGTGAGGGCCGTGGCGTCACGCTAGCTCACAGCAACCTCAAACTCTGGCTCAAAGCATCCTCCTGCCTCAGCTCCCGAGAGCTGGCACTACAGGCATGCCCACCATGCCCAGCTAATTTTGAATATATATATCAGTTTGCAATTAATTTCTCGTAGTTTATAGTAGAGAGAGTCTCGCTCTTGCTCAGCTGGTTGTTGATTAACTCCTGACCTGTGCAATCCGCCGCTCGCTTTCCCAAGAGCTAGATTACAGCGTGACCACAGCGTCCGGTTCTTCTTCTGTCTTTCTTGCGTCTTCTGCGTGGTGCTCTGTGCTGTGTTATTCTTGTCTCTCTTTCTTTGCTCTCTTTCTTCGTTTCTTCTTTCTTCTGCGTATTAGTTGGCCAATTAATTTCTTTCTATTTATAGTAGTGACGGGGTCTTGCTCTTGCTCAGGCTGGTTTTGAACTCTTGACCTTGAGCAATCCACCCGCCTCGACCTCCCAGAGTGCTAGGATTACAGGCGTGAGCCCATGCCCGGCCATGTTTATAATATTTCTTTAAAATAATTTTAATTTCCTTAGGGACTGTAGTGGTGTCTCATCTTTCATTCTTGATGTCTATATCTTTATTTTTCTTTAGTTTATACTAACTAAAGGTTTATTCATTTTTTGATCTTTTGAAAGAATCAGCTTTTGGCTGAGTGCAGTGCTCACACCTGTAATCCGTGTACTTTGGGAGGCCGAGGTGGGAGGGTCGCTTGAGGCCAGCAGTCCAAGACCATCCTGAGCAGTATAGCAAGACCCATCTCTATACACAATAAAAAATTAGCTGGTTGTGTTGGTATACACCTGTAGTCCCAGCTACTCTGGAGGCTGAGGCAGGAGGATCACTTGAGCTCAGAAGTTTTAGGTTGCAATGAGCTATGATGATGCTGCAACACTCTACCTGAACAGAGAAAGACCCTGTCTCCAAAAAAAAGTGAAAAACCCAAACAACAACAAAAGAATCAGCTTTTGATTTCATTGACTTTCTCTATTGCTTTTCTTTCTTTCTTTCATTTTGAGACAGAGACCAGCTAGAATGCAGTGGCGTCATCATAGCTCACTGTAACTTGACTTGGAAATTCATGCTGAGGAAAAAATAAATAAAATAAATAAATAGATAGATAGCTCACTATAACCTCACATTCCTGGGTTCCTGCCTCAGCCTCTCAAGTAGCTAGGACTACAGGTGTGTACCAGGATGCCTGGCTAATTTTTCTATTATTAGTAGAGATAGGGTCTCAGCTCTTCTGGTCTACCTGCTTCTCAGCTCTTCTGATCCACCTGCTTCAACTTCCCAAAGTGTTAGGATTAGGATTATAGGCATGAGCCACCACGCCCAGTCTCTCCATTGCTTTTCTGTTTTTCATTTTATTGATTTCCATTTTAAATTTTATTATTTCTTTTCTTTCTTCTTTGCTTTAGTTTAATTTGTTTGTATTTCTACTTTCTTGAGGTGGGTATTTTATTAGTTTCTTAAGGTGGATTATTCATTGATTGTGGGCTTGTTTGTTTGTTTTATTATAGACAGGATCTCTCTCTGTTGCCCAGGCTAGAGTGCAGTGGTGCGATCATAGCTCACTGTAACCTTGAACTCCTGGGCTCAGGTTATCCTCCCACCTCAGCCTCTGAGTTGCTAAGTCTGTAGGTGTGTGCTACCATGCCTGGCTAATTTTTAATTTTTTTGTAGAGACAGGGTCTCACTATGTTACCCAGGGTTGTCTCGAACCCCCGGCCTCAAGTGATCCTCTTGCATTGGTTTCCCAAAGTGGTGGGATTACAGGCAGGAGCCATTATGCCTGACGTAGAGGACAGCAGATCATTGTGTTAGAAGAACTGCCAATTGAGAATGTTGAAGACCCTTAGAGTGGTGCCAGGGAATGTGACAAGGGGATATTATGAACCTAGGATTGGAATTCTTGAGGACAGTGCATGTCTTAGAGGTTCATGGAAGACTATGATCTAAAAGCCTCCTATTTTAGATTGTGTATGTGGCTGCCATGGTCTCATACCAAAGAGGTGGTTTTATAAAGGAAGCAGCAGTACAGTGGGTTTGGAAAGAACTGGGGCCTGGGAGCAATGAGTGTGCTAAAGCCCTTGTGGTGTACTTACTGCCTTCCCCATGTACAGAAGGTTGAAAGGCTGGGAAAAGTGGGGAATGGGAGAAGCAGCAGCTTCTTATGTTTAGTTTAACATTCTCTGGGCTTCTCTATCTAGGTCTTAATGTCCATTTTCTTGCCGTCAGAATGTACCCTGTCTTTCTGGTTCCCCTGACTTAACTTTGGTCCGTGTTTTAGGAGAGAAGCCCCATCAGTGCCAAGTCTGTGGGAAGACTTTCTCTCAGAGTGGGAGCAGGAATGTGCACATGAGAAAGCATCATTTGCAGCTGGGAGCAGCTGGGAGTCAAGAGCAGGAGCAAACTGGTGAGGAGGGTAGGCATAATGGAGGGCTGTATCCTCTAGGTTCAAAGGGCCAAGTCACTAGACTGCTTGTTATCTGGAAATTTTCTGATTCTGTTTTGGGTAGAGAGACCTCTACCCAAAGGTCTCATTTGATGGGCTGGTGGTTTCCAAACATAGCTGTACTGTAGAATGATCTGCAAACTTTTAAAACATACTTTCTTGTTGCTTGTCTTCCCTTCCCCCACGACCCCCCCATAAAACAAAGCAACCTGATAAATGAGATAATTTGTAAGATCCCAGAATCTATAGTTTTAAAAAGTTCCCCTAGTGAGTTCGATGGTAACTAGTGCTGATCCATGAACCAGCATTTGAGTAGCGGAGTGATAAAAGATTTTTGTATGACATAGAGTTTAGGTATGTTTTTACTAAGCAGTCATGGCTACCTTTTTGCCCTACCTTAAATTTGATAACTCTTTTTTGTTCTTATTACTTTTCCATGCCTTTCCTTAATTATTTTATTCCAAATACTCCTTTCTAAAAATCCATTTGTCCCATTTCATATGCTATTTTTTCAGATGCTAAACATAAGCAAGGATCATCATCCCTCAAGTTCAATCCTTCCCTTGTAGATGTTTTTTTCTCATTTCCCAAAAGTAGATGAGATAGGTGGTGGCATCTAATGTATAGGTTAACTTCTAGTTCTGAAAGAGAAGGCCAACTTCCCTTTGAAGGAAAATGAGGACTAGGCACAGCCTTGACTGCTGTATGTCTTTCACATCCTCTTCTCTGTGCAGCTGAGCCACTAATGGGCAGTAGTTTGCTTGAAGAGGCTTCAGTACCCAGTAAAAACCTGGTGTCTATGAATTCCCAGCCCAGCCTTGGTGGAGAGTCCTTGAACCTACCAAATACCAATTCTATCCTGGGAGTTGATGATGGTAAGACTTCCAACTCTCCTTTATTTGGGGAAAATGGGCTGCAACTAGGGGCTAAGAAATGGGATGTCTCCAAAATGGAGGTTTTAATTAATCTCATTTCTTGTGAGTAGCTGTGGTATGATTGAGTAGCATTTGTGTTCTTATTCTCTGGGGTTGATAAGTTAATCTGGAAGAAAAAAAACTTTTTTTCTTGGGAGATTGAGGTGGGAGGATTGCTCGAGCCCAAGTCCAGCCTGGGCAACATAGTGAGACCTTGTCTCTTAAAAAAAAAAATTCATTGAAGATGATGTAACAAAAGAATAAAGAGAAAATTATTTATAATCCTAGCATCCTAGCCCGACTATTTCTATCTTTCCTGTTGCAGTTATGGAAGAACTTAACTTTTAAAACATTTAAACAGAAAATAACCAGGTTTTACAGAGGAAATATAAAGCAATTTCTCCATACCTTCAAAAGCCTATCTTCTGGAGAAAAGAAAGGGCTCTCTAGGAAACACTTGGTCCTCTCTGGTATAGAAATTTCACCCAAGTTACACAGGCCAGGCCCTCTTCTCTGACAAACTTAACAGGTGAGGTCAGCATGCATTTATTCAGTGCCTACTGTGTGCTGGTGGCACCATGGGAAAGAGAAAAGTAGAAGATAGGGACCTTAAAATCCAGTTGAGAAGTGAAAACTTACATATTTGTGGGAATCAACATTAAATAAATAGAAGATAGTATATAGGTAAACATTAAATTATATGATACTATCTAGAGAGCCATATTAGCTAGAAAGTCCATAGATGAAACATTTTTTTTTTGAGGGCTAAATAGTATATCTATAAACTATTTCAAGAAGATATTCATGGTGATCCCACTGATGAACATTTAATATGTATGAGATCCTATGTTTTAGTTACTCATATCCTACTCAGTCAATATTGGGTATAAGTGACTATGTTTATGTAACTTCTGTTTGGAGCCTACAAGGCCCAGCATTTGCTACCACAGTAAGCCTCCTCTGTTTCATGACTGATATTAGTGGATAACCAAAGCATAAGGCACAGAAATTGCATGGAACTAGTTTGCCAGCCTTGAAGAAGAAAGTCCCAAGGGAGGAAGGGACCCTGAGTAGGAACTTGGGAAGCCAGGTTTAACTTAAACTATTGACCCGCAATATTGTGCTATTAGTATCGTTGATGATTGCTTTCAGGGCTGGCTTTGGTTCCCTGATCTGCCTGCCTAAGCATTTTATACCCTGTTTCGTACACAGTTGTAATCTAGATAGCAGTACTAAAGCCATATTATTCTTGATTAGTATATCCCAAAATGGTCAACTCCCATATTAAGATTTCTTGACTTTTTATCCCATTTTTCTTTTACAATACTTTCCAAATTCACTGATAATGATTATCAGGCAGGAATTAACTTGGAAGAAATAGAGGAATGTGGGATTCAGTTTTTCAGGAATAGTTTTTAGAGTTCATAATGAGAGGCTTGATGATCCAGGTTAGGTATATCTGTGGATTCACTTTTCATTGAAACATCTTTCTGTTATTTCACAGAGGTGCTTGCTGAAGGTTCCCCACGTCCCCTGTCTTCAGTGCCTGATGTGACACATCACTTGGTGACCATGCAGTCAGGGAGGCAGTCATATGAAGTGTCTGTCTTAACTGCAGTAAATCCACAAGAGGTAAAACTGTTTCTGGCCTTTACTTTGTTTCTGTGGCAACTGATGTGGGTAATAATTGGAAATCTAGAGGATCTGAAAAATTCTCCAATTTCCATTTCCTGGAAACTTTGACTAGAGTATCTTCCTTTACGCTAAAAAGGAGTTCAGCTTGAAAGGAATTTGAGTGTGCTGGGGTCTTACAAATTGAGAGATTGGTCTGTCATAGCTGGGACTCTTAGCTTTAAAGTTCCTTTATACACATTACTCATTGATATCTGTTCCCAGTGGGTTTGGAAAGAACTGGGGCCTGGGAGCAATGGGTGTGCTAAAGCCCTTGTGGTGTACTTACTGCCTTCCCCATGTACAGAAGGTTGAGAGGTAAGGACATGCCTTATAACATGAAGATGGTGATTTTATAAGGAAAATTACATCCTGGAAAAAAGTCCCTGAGCAGGAAAAAGTAGTAACAAAACCATTAAAAATAATTATTGTTCATTCTGCTAGGGTTATATGTCTGGGTTATACTAGGCTGAATCAACTGGGCGATTATAAGAATATGTTCACTTGCTGCTTATATGAAAACTATCATCTACATAAAGGAGGGGTTTTAGGTTGATTATAAGCACTTCCAACTGTGTGGTCTTGGCTTTGACCCAGAAAACAGAATTAAAACCAGTCAGGCTTCTAAAATCTTAGGATATCTTATTGGTCTTGTGTCACTGTGTCATGGAGTGGATGACTTCATCACGAACACATTTCATATGCATAAGCTTTTGCCAAAACCTAAGTAACTTCCCTTTAGTTTTACATTATTTTTTTATAGTGCTCTCTCATCTTTCCTTCTTACCTTTCATTATAACCTTTATATCACATTAGGCTGTTAGATCATTCAAATGACTCTATGTCCTACATTGAATATTCCCAATTATTCTGTAACATTCTGGGGGTACTCAAGAGTGTTCTGGACATGCATGTTAATGCTTCTGTGAGGACCTTTCTTTGTATTCATTGTTATGACCCATTGTCTAAGCCTTGCTTATTTAAAGTTTTTTGTGGGCCGGGCGTGGTGGCTCACGCCTGTAATCTTAGCACTCTGGGAGGCCGAGGTGGGCAGATCATTTGAGCTCAGGAGTTCAGGACCTGGCCTGCAAGACGGACCCGCTCTACTAAAATACGAGAAATTAACTGCCAACTAAAATATACTATGAAAAAATTAGCCAGGGCTGGTGGCGCATGCCTGTAGTCCCAGCTACTCAGGAGCGCTGAGGCAGGAGATTGCTTGAGCCCAGAGTTTGAGTTGCTGCTGCTTGGGCTGATGCCAGGGCACTCTAGCTGGGGTACAAGAGAGAGACTCTATCTCCAAAAGTACGTTTATCAAAACTTGACAAGACACTCTTTCATTCAAGATGGGTTCAGATTAACAGTTTCTATTTTCTCTCAGTGATTGTCCCAGGTCCTGAGTTGTGTAGGCAGAGATTCAGACAGGAACTGGACCAAAGGCTTGTTAACTCTCATACCTACTAAAGTCATCCACAATGGGGGTCATGTCACATGAAGTCACATTCTTGACTCAAGAAACCAGGTTATAAGTGTCCAGCTAGCTTGTGATACATCTACAAGTTTCCATAAATTGGCGAGAGAGCAGAAACAGAAATACAAAATTCGTAACATTTCTCATAAACCATGTAGTTGAGTGCAAACACCTAATCTTGGCCCTACATGTAAAAACACACCAGTTCTACATTCCTACCACACAGGCATCAAAGAAATCTTGTGTTGTAAGTTCTCGAATTTTTTGAGATTCTATTTAAAATTTCTTTACAATTCCATGACATTAAGTTCTATATAAATACTTCATCCCTTAAGATCCACCAATTTTTTTTGTATTAATACTCATGTGCTCAAGTCAGAATATTTTTTTTTCTTTTGTTTGTCGTTGCTTTGTTGGTTGCTTTTTTCTATTTCTGTCCCTTTAACCTAGCACTCTGTGGTATGTGTCTTGATGTGGGGGGGTGTTGTAGGTGTGGATTCCGCAACGTGTGGGATGTTGAGTTTCCAAACTCTTGTATGTCTGTTGTTGTGTGTTTCTGATGCTAATGGAGTGGACCCCGTCTCTACTAGAAATAGAAAGAATTATATTGTTTGTGTTATTTCTTATCGTAAAGTATATATCATTTAGTATTTTCTTTATATTATTAAATATGATTTTGTGTCGATGTCATTTTTTGTGTGTTTCGTTTTTTTTTTTTGTGCCTTTGTTTTTTTTATTTGTTTTCCCAGTTTCTTTTAATTGGTTTTTTTTGTGTTGTTTTTGTAGCTGAGGCAGAAGGATTGCTTGAGCCTAGAGTTGTGAGGTTGCTGTGAGCTAGGCTGATGCCATGGCATTCTAGCCCGGCAACAGAGTGATACTCTGTCTCAAAAATATTTTTTTTTCTGATTAGATTTCAGTGAGCTCAGTTTTTTTTTTTGTTTTTTTGTTTTTAATTTTTTTTATTTTGGCATATTATGGGGTACAGATTTTAAGGTTTCAATTAAATGCCCATTTCCCCCCTCCCCCAATTTTTTTTTTTTTAATTGTAAGCTCAGTTTTTATTTGAATTTACTGAATTGTCTCATCTCAATCGTTCTCTTTCTTCTTTTCCTTCCTTTCCTCCTCCCTCCCTTCTCTATTTTTATTTATTTTTTTTAAGAGACAGGTCTTACTCTGGGAGCTGAGGCAGGTGGATTGTCAAGGTCAGGAGTTTGAAACCAGCCTGAGCCAGACCTTCTCTACTAAAAACAGAAGAATTAATTGACCAACTAAAAATATATATACAAAAATTAGCCGAGCATGGTGGCACATGCCTGTAGTTGCAGCTATTCGGGAGGCTGAGGCAGGAGGATTGCTTGAGCCCAGGAGATTGAGGTTGCTGTGAGCTAGGCTGATGCCATGGCACTCACTCTAGCCTGGGCAACAAAGTGAGACTCTATCTCAAAAAAAGAAAAAAAAAGAGACAGGGTCTTGCTATGTTGCCCAGCTGGAGTGCAGTGCTGTCATCATAGCTCACTATAACCTTGAACTCCTGAGCTCAAGTGATCCTCCTGGCTCAGTCTCTCGAGTAGCTGAGACTGTAGGCACACACCACCATGTCTGGCTAATTTTTTTACTTTTTAGTAAAGATGAGTTCTCTCCATGTTGCCCAGACTGGTCTTTATTTAATTAAACTCCTAGTTTCAAGTGATTCTTCCTCAGCCTTCCACAGTGCTGGGATTACAGGTGTGAGCCACCATGCCCAGCTTTATTTTCTCTTTATAATAAAATGGAAACCAGTGTCATTAATTATTGTACTGAACCTCCTTTGAACAGAAGCCTTGAGTATAGAGTATAATGTCAGTGTTAGCTGCCACTGTACATGAGTCAGGCTTATCTCCCTTTATCACAGGAAAGGTATTCTTTTAAGCTCAAGAAACCCCTGGATCTTTTATGAAAGGGTTCCAACTCTCCTATAGTACTTATAAATGGAACAGCTCCTTTTCCTGTTTTCTTCTATTACTTGAGCCTTCAGTCTGTGCTTTGGCTGACACTGACTTACAAGGTTTTGGGTCTATCCTTTCTAATTTCCCTGTAAGGTACAGATTCCTCCATCTCTGGTGAGTAGGTGACTGCAGAAACAATAGTTTGGTTTATAGACTCAGGATATTTGATTGCCATAGTTAACATGCCAGCCTCATGAAGTGGCTAAAGTGCTGTCCACGGCTAGTTATGTGAATAAGATCTTTCAGTCTGCATGTTTTTTGTTTTGGAAGTAGATATCCTTGATTCATCTCTGCAGTGCATTCCTCATCCTTCATTCTTAATCCTTTTACTCAGTATGAATTATTTTTCTTATAATTCAACTGTAACCTATTCTAGATTTGCTTTCAACTTTTACAGTTACTAAACCAAGGAGATTTAACTGAAAGACGGACATGAGCGTGGGTGCTGACTCCTGGAAGAGCAGTTCTATCTGATCTCAGAGTGCGTATAGTGGGAATAGGATGCTGTAGCTCATGATCTGCCACAACCAAAATGAATCTGTGAAGAACAAGACTTCACTTTTGCCTCTGTTCATCTTCCCTGGCATAGAAGATTGATGTAAGAGAGCTTTTCTTCTAACTACCATCTGATCCAGACAAGGAATGAAGCAGTGACTGGGGGCTGGGTAACTGTACCTACCTCTCTTCCCACTGCAAAATTTTGAGATAGACTTCTTCCAAAGTGAATTTGATTAATGTGTTGGCTGAAATTTCTCATTATGACTGCTGAGAGGAGGTTTTCCTTTGAAGAGTTTTCATCCCAGACTTGGCTATCTTTTCACATGGATGAATTAAGTCCTGCCACCAACCACAAAACTTCACCTGGAAGTTGAGCTTTCAAGATGCCTTGTTGCTTTGAAGAAGGGAGTGATGTCAATTCTGTTATGACATTCTCCCTTTAGCAACCTGCGTAAGAGACTCTCTGCCACTGGGCTGCAAAAAATAAATTACTTGAATCCCCCCTTGGCCCAGGCTGAGGTACTATCTTGTCCTGTACACTTCCACTTGGTCACTTTGCTTTCTTTGTTAATGGAACATACAGTAGCATGTTAAGGGGGTTTGTTTTTGTTTTTTTAAAGTTAAAAACCACACAATTCAGAGCTTCAGCTTCCCTTTAAATAAAAAAACAGCCCAGTCAGTTCTTTGGCTCTGTTTTGGACAAAATTTATTTTCTTCGGAGATTAAGAGAATAATCCAGTTCTTTCCCTGTAAGATAATGTACTGCTTTAATCCTTTGGAGTCCATGCAGGAGGTAAAACTGAACTGAGGAGTCTCAGGAATCATGACATGAACACTAGCAAACCTAGTCATTTCTAACTAGCAAACTGAGGTGGTAGTTACTGGAGTATCACTCTGCCACCACCAGAAAAGACTAAAAATACCAATAGTTCTGAGAATAAGAAACTCTTCTACTAGAGGATGCAAATTTGTCATCTTCTATGGGCCAAATCTGATACATAGATGTGTTTTCTTTTGCCTACACAATATTTCTAAATAATTTTTAGATTAGTTGCCAACATGCAGATTTCAGGCTTGATGAAAATGTGGTTGATCTGATAACTCTGAGTCTTTATTCCAGGAAGGTTTATCCTCTCTACTCTCTACCATCTCCTACTGTCTACGCCCTACCCCATTTGACTCATTTATGTTTCCTGACTATCCCGTATAGGCCGCTGGGCTTGTGCTCTTTTTTCTGTACCTATATTCTGAGTGTGAGGCACAATGCAAGAACCCTTAACTCTGGGCTATGATCCCTTTACTTGATCTTCCCCACTTTGATTTCCTGTTATTTGCTACTCTTCCCCATTCTCTAACAGTAGCCGTGCCTCAAAACCAAGTTTTGCCTACTTTGACTCAAACCTGTTAGCTGCTAAATATTGTTCAAAAGCAGTGATTTTAAGTGTACTTATTAAGCAAGTGATTTGAGATTGTTCAGTGATTCATAATACAGCTCCTCCAGTACTTTCTTGGGTCTTGTAGGCTGTTCTAGAGAGTCTTCTAAATCCTGCGGTGGATCCCTGATGCTGAGTTTTGTAGTTTCATGGATGCTGCAGAATAAATTAAAGCATTATGAAATAGAAAATTTTAAATTAAGGCATTGGGTAATGTATTTAAGAATGGTCTCAGCATTCTCATTATTTTATATTGGCTGTAAAGGGAAATTTCCAGAGGGGAACTGATACAGAAATTAGGGGAAGGACCGTGAAGATTAAGAAACGAAACAAAATTGAAAATAATGCACAGTCCCTATGCTTTTCTCCCTTTGAGTTGTATCAAAATGGGTTATGGAGTAGGTAATGCTAATGAGTTACCTTTAAGGAATGCTAGAAAAACAGTTATATCATTTTATAAGAAGTCAGAAATATATTAATACATGATTTTTCTCAAATAAAGTGGAAATACTTTTGACTCATAGCATTGGAACTAGAATTGGAAATAATCTATTTCAAATTGAAGAAATCAAACTTAATATACAATGGTTAGATTTTATTCACAACTGCACCATTCTCAAATCAAATGTGTTACTTGGAGATCCCTGGATTCGTTACTATATAAATATAGGATGTGATCTCAAAATATGAGTGGCTATTCTAAAGGTTCCTCCCAGTGGTATTACTGGAATGACAATTTAAAGAGCTGCAGAATGACAGCAGCATCTCAGATTACCTGGGAGAATCCTTGACTTTGGTCCCTTCCTTCCCTTGTACAGCCCAGGTGTCTTGACCCTTGTTCCTCACAAAGTCTTCTTCCAATCCAGCCTGTTTCAGAGTGTCCAGATACCGTTGTTCTGCTGCTTTCCTGGCAAGATCCTGTGGAATGGAAATTAATCTGCTGTAGCCATCTTGTGAACCTATCCGACAATTCTGTTACTTGCTTAATCAGAATCCTTACAATACTGCCCCTACCACCACCACCCCTCTTATTGCTGGGCACAGATTTGCATGAAAATTAAGTCTTGTTTTCAGGCCTTAATGTGCATATGAGACACCTGAGGATACTGTTAGTATTAAAATGCAGATTTTCATTTGGTAGGTCTCTGATGGGGCCTGCAATTCTATATTTCTAACATAACTAGGAGATGGCAGCTGTTGATTTAGGTTGCCACACTTTTGCAAATTAAGGTCTTAGATTTTGGGGAGATAATTGAGGCCCATATGAAAAAAAGATAGATTAAAAATGTCTTAAGATTTAAAAGCAACCAAGGCTGGGTGCAGTGGCTCACACCTATAATCCTAGCACTCTGAGAGGCTGAGGCAGGATTGCTTGAGATCAGGAGTTCAAGACCAGCCTGAGCAAGAACAAGATCTGTCTCTAAAAAAACAGAAAAATTAGCTGGGTGTGGTGGCACATGTCTGTAGTCCCAGCTACTCAGGAGGCTGAGGCAGAAGGATCAGTTGACCCCAGGAGTTTGAGGTTGCAGTGAGCTGTGATGATACCATAGCAGTCTACCCAGGGGAAATTTTAATATTCAAGAGCAAAATCAGAATACTTTGTTTTTCTAGAGTGGTGAAACATCTGTTGAGATCTGAAGACTGAACTTATTTGAAACAAATTAACATAAAGAAGAAAGGTCAGCATGAGAGATTTTTGAACAATGCAGGTTTCTAAGTAAATACAAGACCTTTTGTAAGGGAGTGTGTGTGTGTGTGAGAGAGAGAGAGAGAGATTTATGGGGTGGGGAGTGTGGATCCAGCAAATACCCAGATAAACGCACTAGCTGTAAGATGGAGCAATTGGAACAAGGTCTCTAGGGAACCCAGGCTTTTGTCTGAAACACTGGAGAGAAAAGGGATCTACAGAGCCTGAAGAAGCCTGAAACTGCCTGGGATGGTGGTCTGTCTGGGCTGTTAAGTAGCTCCAGAGCTTCCCTATGGAGATTTCAACTGAGTACAACTTCCCTAAAAGTCCAGAGAATATTTTAAAATTATAATCTTTCAGCCTGAAAGCCACTTAACCTATCAAGAATTAGCCTTGTGAGGTGCTTATGAGCATCCCAACACTTGGAGACCTATAAATATGCCACCTCCTTAGAGGCTGGGGACACCAAGGACAGCAGCACTGCCAGAGGAAGGTGCCTTCCCAGCACTGTGAACAGGCTCCAGACAGCAGAAACAGTTAAATGATCACTGTGTCTCTGGGATCTAACTCCCCAACTCTGATCTAGAGGCAAAACTATAGTAAAAACTCTAGGACGTGAAATATCCTTTTATACATGCCTTTGGAATCCAGTCTTAGATGAAATCAACTCAAGCTACATTCACCATTGCACTACTTATTCTGGGAAAAGATGGTAGTAATAAAATGGGCCCAATTTAGAATTTCTGGGCCTCTCAAGGAAATGTTTAGTACCCATGTATTAAAATTGTTTCATAATTTCTAAGAGCCCTTTCATCTAAGGCAGAAAGAAAATGAATAATGATGGTTTAGTTTTACCTTGCTAACTTGTTCGAAGAGATAAGGCCTTGTTTGTATTCTCTTTTTCATTTCCTCCAATTCTTTCTTATACTCTTTTGCTCTTTTACGGTCATTGTTCCTGAAATTAACAAGATTTCTAGAGAAAATTATGCCTTTTCCAATCCCAAATCCCCTTCATTCCAGTTAAGCAGTGTAACTTCCATGTACATTACAAATTCCTAACTCCTGGCAGAATCCTTGATGCCCTGTGATTACAGAGCCTACACTAATAAATCCATTTTTCCATTTTCAAGGCCTATGATCTGTTGGATCCCAGGGCAAGCACCCCTTTCATACAAAGGACACTGACCTGTTCTCTTTCAGCTTTGCTTTGAACACCTCCTCCAGGCTTCTATGGGGATCCATGGCTTTTGCACGTAAGGTCACAGATTTAAACATTGCTTGACACTTCTTTTTGTGCATCTCCAACCACTGAATACTCTCATCTGCCTTGTCCTTTTGTTCAAGTGAACTTCTAAAGGGAGGAGGCGAAAAAAGAGTGTAGATGATCAGCTTGGGTATATTTAAAAGCAATCTTAGTAACCACTCTGGAAAGGGCATTGGTGTTTTCAATGAATGGGGCAGGTTATTTACCACAGCTGCCATTTTCAGAAAATAAGATTCTGGGATTAAATGCACTAGTGGATGAAGCCTTTCCAGCATTATGGACACGATGATTTCCTACCCCAGGAGAAGTTCATTTATTGAACTGGAAAAATGTGACTTAAAATATCCTTAACTTAAACAGCCAAACACTCTATAGGTCTTTGCTAGACTTCTTACTTATCTGGAAACAAAGTAATACTATTGTAATAGCTTCCATTTGCTGAGCTACCTATCATGAACCAAGTACCATTATATTTCATGTAATCCTCATAGCTGCCTTAAGAGGTAAAGACTGTAAGTCCCCTTTTTACAGGGGAGGAGTTGGGGCTCAGAGAAGGTAAGGCACTATCTCAAAGCTACCCAGCTTGCCAGTGAAAAAGCCAGGATTAGAACCAGGATCTCTGACTCCCAAGCCTCTGCCCTGGACCACTGTGGTATAAACAGTGGGCTGGAGGGTGTCTGAGTTCATGTTCCCTTGGGAATATAAATCTGCACTTCCAAAGAGAACTGGAAATGGCCCCCCTTCAATGCAGACAATTTGGGGTCAACCTGCAGCACTTAGTTTATCAAACTATTATCACTCTACAAGGTACTATGGAGAGTTCTACCAAAAGGAAAAACAATCAGTGCTCTTGCATTTGGATGTTTACATTCAAATAGACTGGAAAAGTTTGATCTGCTAATACATCAAACCCCCTGCTGGAAAGCAGATGTGGATATCCTCTAGAAGTGGGCCATCCTCTTGTTCATGAGGCCTATCTTACTGGGCTCTCAGGATGCTGATGCATTTAGCCTTGATTTAGTAGGTCTACCTATGAACTTTGAAGAAGAAAGGTGTATCCCTTGGATCCTAAATACATTTCTACAATCCCTGTTGTGAGTCTTAGGGAGGCACGTAGGTTCCAGATACTCCCCCATGAGCCCTATGGGAAAGCACTGAGAAGTTATCCTTTCCCGGGCTAAGCTGCTTACCACACCATGACCCTCCCCTGCTTATATCAGCTCAGAGGCCTAGTGGAGGAACTCTTGCTGGGGGACTGGCTCAGTGAGAATAGTATCATGACAGAGTCAGGTCAG